CTGCGCCCCATGCTCAGCTCCGCCTTCGGCCAGGTAAGGGCCGCGCCTCCCAGCCGCGCTCCCTGGAAAGGCGCTCGGGACCCGGTCGCAGCGCGGTGCCCATCGCCCTCCTCCCCTGCCTGCGCTCCCCGCTCACGCTTCTGCTCCCCAAGTCTTGCCCCAGCCCAGCCCCGCGACCTGGCCGGCGCTCCCGGTCCCCCGGAGCCTGATTCAGCACCCTGGGCGCTGTCCACTCCACGCTTCCGGCCTCGCCGGCGGACTGCGTCGCCCCGGTCAGGATCTGGGATCGCCAACCCTGGAAGCGGGCACCCCTCACCGCCTATCTGGACACTTAGAGGGGCCAAGAAGGGGCGCTCCGAGCAAGCGGTGCCAAATCTACTCTTTTCGTGTTTCTGGCCACTACCGCCAGTGAGCAACTTCTGAAAACAAGGGTTGGGGAGACCAGAGCGAGGGGCCACAGAGACTTGCTTGGGCCAGGGACTGTCGCCATTGCTGGCAGTGGCCTCAGAAGGCTGGGAAAGCAGCCTCGAGCGACAGGAAAGTTAGGAGCGCTCAGAGGAGCCTGGGCGAGATGCTGGGAGAGATGCTGGGTGGGCAGGGCGAAGCCCAGGAGCACTGTGGACGCCGAGGAGCTACCGGGAGCTTGTTGCTGCAGGAATGCCATTCGGATGGCACTTGGGTAGTTTTACAGTCATGCTCAGAGACCCCCACAGCCTGGAGACGTGTGCATCCCGGGCTAGAAAGGTCACTAGGAGGTCATCAGTGTCCTCCTCCCCAGGCCTTTCCTCCGTCTGCCCCACAGTCAGAATGCAGGTTCACATGTGTTCACGGGGGTGGGAGTAGGTGGGGGGGGGGGTGCTGCCGGGAGGGAGGCTCTGCAGGAAGGATGCTGCAGCCCTGAGTCCGTAATCCAGGCTGAGCCGTTGGTGCAGCAGTGAGCCAGGTCTGCGGCAGCAGCAGGGTGTGATGCAGAGAGCTGGTGGGGTGTTTGCCGGGGCAGCTGGGCCAAGTTGCCAAGCTAGAGCTCACTAGCCTAAGGAAGCTGTTTCAGGCTCTGGACTCAGCTGGGCTGGGTCAGAATTCCAGTGTGTGTGTGTGTGTGTGTGTGTGTGTGTGTGTGTGTGTGTGTGTGTGTGCTGATTGATTTAGATCTGCATACTCCTTTCCAAATGATTACTCTGCAGTGTTTGGGACCGGTGGAGGGCTGAGGCTGTGTGTGTGGTGGAGTGCAGGGGAGCCGCCGAGGGGGCCTCATTAGCCAGGTGAACTGGAGGCAGTTCTGGGAGCAGGGATCTGGATCCCAAGCTGAGAGTTAGTGTGGGGAAGATAAGTGGAAAGAGACATTTGCCAAGGTGGCTGACATCCCAGCTAGGGCTTGGAATGAGAGTTCACCTTTCCACCCCAGCCCTGAGGCTCACTCTGGGATCCTGTTCAACTCCATCTGTGTCCCGTATGTATATATGGGTGGAGAGGCCATTCTCAGTAGAGGGCTGAGCTGGAATGAACAGGCACGAAGCCCTGGCACCAGGAGGGGGTGGTACCAGGGCAGGAGTGGTATGTGCAGGGTATGTTGTTGGCGCAAACCTTTCTGGAACCCCCACTTTACCCCACACCTTTGGTAGGCACTAGGAGCTCACACGTGGCTGTGACCATCGGCTCAGTGTTGGCAATGTTGGTGAGGACGGTGCAGGCTGGGGCAGCGCTGGGTTCTGGTGTTCACAGGTTCACTCTGAGTTGGTGGCATCAAGTGGCAAGAACAGCAGGAAAAACAGCAGAGGAGCCCTGGTGGCACCGTGGTTAAGTACTTGGATATCAAAGGCAAGGTTGAGGTTCAAACCCCTTGGGCCCTCCAAGGGAGGAAAATGAGGCCGTCTGTTTCCATACAGATTATAGCCTGGGGAAGCTTACGGGGCAGTTCTACTCTGTCCTATAGGGCCACTCCGAGTTGCCACTGACTCCGGGCTGGGTTTGGTTTTGAGAGAGGGACTAGTGGACAAGACTGCCAGGCTCTCGGCCAGTTTGGAGCATACCACCTGGCAGTTTGGAATTGTAGCTAAGGGTCCAGCACCACACACATTGCCTTGACTCTTGGTTCACTCCTAACCACAGCCAGCTCCTGGGCAGAAGGTCCTTTCTCTCCAACCTTGTGGACACTCACGTGCCACTGGCCCTCCTCACTCTGCATCCTCAGTCATTCACGGAAGACTGGGCTCCAGCCCAGTGCTCCGAAATGTCCCCAGGGTCACCTGAGTCAGGAGGCAGGCCCTTGGAAGGTCCCATAAAATATTTACGACCTTCCTCTGGAAGCCCCGGCCTCGGGAACCGACCACAGGCTCTTTCCTTAAAGCCCCACTCATTCACAGGGACTTCCTGTGGACGACATCTGTTTAAACAGCAACCACAGCAAACCCGGACTGGGACGTTGCTGTCAGAGCAACAGTCCCCGGCGACAGCATTGAGTCTCCCCGCTGTCCCTCATCTCAGCATTTCCGTCTTTTGAGACGAGGCCGGAACCGAGAGAAGGGAAATGACGCGCTAGAGACAGATACATGCAGATAGCATCTGCCGAGGGCCACACAGAGCCCTGGGGAGGGATATTTCCATCCCTCCCAAGTTCCACTCTGTGACCTTTCGGTCCCGTTGCGTCAAAATCGACTCCGTGGCACACACAACAGCAGCAGCTTAACCTCATTAAGCCTCTGTGTTTGTGTTTCAGCTACAGAGCAGGGATGAGCAGAGGCCCTCAAGGGCTGGGGGCGATTACAGGGCATACGGAGATGTGTGCAGGGTCTGGCCCCACGCGTGGCTCGATCGGCTGTCACTGCCGTGTGTGTTATTGGCAGGCTG